AGAACATGAATCAAGCCATAGAAATAGTGTAGACTTAGGAGTTATACACTATCCTAAGAAAGATAAAAAGGTCTTAACTAGAACAACTAGTATAAAACATGAGGTGGTATTATACACCTTAAATATGATGGGAAAGAATGGCATAACATTTCTATCCTAATAGATACAAGAGCAGGAGTAACACATATCCATAGTGATATGATCCCACACCTACCAAGATTTGAACTCACTAAGCCATACACATACTACAACTTTAATGGTATAATGACCACAATACATGAATATGCTAAAGTACCTCTTAAAATAAAGGATAAGAATAAGATACAACATGAAATCACTATAACAACTCATGCTGAAACAAAAATGACTATAAGTATAGAATTAATGCTAGGAAATACGTTCTTAACATCGATACAACCCTATAATATCCAAGAACATTGTTTAAAGATTACCTTAAGTGAAAAAGAAATGTTTATACCTCGATACTATGAAGACTAGTATCTATAGCGTATACATATCCATCGGAATCAAATATGAAGAATACAAAATAGAATTCTTTCATGCTTTTATAGATACAAGGTCTGGGATATGTTTACCCAAAACCAATATATTCCCAAACTATTATTGGAGGAACACCTCTCAAACTATGAAAGGTATAGTTATAGATGGAAGTATTATTCAATATAAAACAATAATAGAAAGAGTTACTACCGTAATTGGTGGAAATAAAGTTATAATTCCCCGAGTCTATGAAAGCAACGAGCATGGGAATGATATTCTATTAGAAAATAATTTCCTAAGTCAATTCAAGCGATATGTTCAAACTACATCATACGTAAAATTTTATATACCTTATGGACATTGACTTTACACCTCCAGAATTTATAATGCTTATACTAGAGCAATAGAACCATTAAATTTTTGGAGCCAACGTGGTGAAGATAATACAAAAACTCGATCAAAAGAGATTAAAAAAACAATGTTAGCATTGTGAAATAATGAAAAAACACAAGAAAAAATAAATTTAGAATCTATCTTAGAAGAATTAAAAAGTAACTATGGGGAAGATCCTACAAAACTATGGGGAATTGATAAAACTTATGCCACAATCGAATTGATAAACCCAAAAACTATCATTAGAGTCAAACCAATGAGGTATAGCCTTGAAGATAAAGAAGAATTTGACAAGAAAATTCGAGAGTTAATGGCCCAAAAAATTATATAGGCTTCTAAGGGTTCGCATAGCAGTCCTACCTTTATGGTAAGAAATCATAATGACTTAAAGAGAGGAAAAGCTAGAATGGTTGTCAACTATTAACAACTTAATAGCAAAACGAAATTGATGGTTACTTTTTACCACATAAAGAAACTCTAATCAATAGCATTAGGGGAAAGAAAATGTATTCAAAGTTTGATTGCAAATAAGGATTTTGGCAAATTAAGCTAACTCCTAACAGTATCCCACTAATAGCCTTCAATGCCCCTAAAAGACACTATGAGTGGTTAGTAATGCCTTTTGGATTAAAAAATGTGCCTCAAATATTTCAAAGAAGGATGGATAATATATTTTCTTCCATCAAGAAATTTTGCATAGTTTATGTAGATGCCATACTAATATTCTCTAATAATGAGAAAGAACATTTATGTCATCTTAAAAATTTGCATACTTATGCAATAAACATGGAATATTACTTTCTAAAAAGAAAGTAGAAATAGGAAAAACAAAATTTGAATTCCTTGGATTAACAATAGATTCCATAGGAATAGAATTACAACCTCACATTAGTGAAAAGATTTCGATGTTTCCAAATAAATTAGAATCTAAAGAACAAATTCAAAAGTTTCTAGGAATTCTCAATTATGCAAAGTAGTTTATTCAAAACCTAACTCAATCGAGACATCCTTTGCAAAAGTTGCTTACCAAAAAGGAAAATCAACAATGGGAAATTTTAGAAGATGAAGAGTTAATTTTAGAATATTACAAAAACCTTCCTAGGCTACAATTGCCCAAAGAAGATGAAGAGTTAATTTTAGAATGTGATGCCTCAGATTTTTACTAGGAAGCAGCTTTAAAAAATTCTAAGAAAAAGTTTGTAGATACGCTAGTGGTACATTTAAAGATGTAGAAACTAGATATCATTCAAATAATAAAGAGTTGTTGACTATTAAAAATGGAGTAAAAAAGTTTAGTTTCCTCTTATTACCAAAACACTTTAAGATCAAAACCGACAATACTCAAGTTAAGGGATTTATTTTTAATAAATTACCTTTAACACCAGAATATAAAAGATTAAATAAATGACAAAATTTCTTTGCTGAATATGATTTTGAAATTGAACATGTCAAAGGAATTAATAATTGTCTTGTAGATTTCCGGAGCAGAGAAAGAGCTAATGGATGCAATCTTGAAACTCCAAAATAAAGCGAAAGACCTTATTCTCAAAAGTCAAGAGATACTCATTGAGGGCAATAGCCAAATAATAGGAGGGCAATAGCCAAATAAGAGAAGGCCAAGAAAAAATGATTGAAGGCCAAGAAATAATTGATGAAGGCCATAACCTTATGGATGAAGGCCAAGAAAAAATTATTAAAGGCCATGAGTTATTGAATAAGGGGCAAGACGCCCTTGAAGAGGTCAAAGAGCTGATAAAAAAATTAATGAGTTCCAGAGTAATTACTATTGTAGGAATTAGCTTTAAAGAATCTAGTCAAATGGCATAGAAAAGCTCCCAACAAGAGCTAAAAGAAAATTTTGAACAAGGTGATCCTTCAGTAGGATTACTTGGAGAAAGTTCAGGGAAGTTTGACTATTATGTTAAATACTCTCCCTCAGAAATATCAGCACCTCAAGCTGCAAAGCCAAGTATTCAAAATGTCGAAAGCCATAACTTTCGACCTGATTACTAAGGTTAGAAAGAAAAGAAAGCTGCAATAATAGACACCTTGTCAAAAATGACAATGAGTGAAGAATATCTATAGGAATACTGTAGAGTTTGTAAAATGGCATATTCAATGAGGTCCACTGAGAATTGCCATCCTATCCATGAAGGGATTTATCCCAAAATTAATTTCATGTAGGGTGTAAACCCAAAAGTAATAAAAGAGTTATTCAATTATGATTTTTGTAAACTATATTTATCTCTTAAAGGACAATGAAGAAGTTTTAGAACTTCCAAAAGTTATATGCCAAGGAGTGAAAGACTTCAAAATAGGCACCAAAGCTCAAGGGGTAGTATTTGTCAAAATCCACTTTGTAGCACCAAAATGGGAGAAATCTCAACATTTCCCCAGTCATCATATAGTTCAAATTGGAATCCAATCCAAGAAAATCAAGGTAAAAGCGAATGAAGATCAAATTTTTCAAGACTTTGCAGAGTCTCTTTGTGGGATCGAGTTCATCCAAGAGAGACAAGCTCTAGGATTCAAGGTATTACTCCAAACCTTTGACAAACTGATAAAGATGAGGAAGACATGGACATATGGCTTCTCCAAAGAAATCTTGGTGGTATCCACTAGTGCAAGATTAATGACAAGCATCAGCTTGTTCAAAATAAAGCAGAAAAGAAAGGAAATCTTTGAAAATCTAGTCCCAGCCAATAAAGTAGTCCATAATAGACTATGCAAGCTGTTAAAGCATGACAGCCATTGTGGTTTCTACTACAAAAAAGAATCTACAAAAGGAAAAGCTGAAGCCCCATGTGACGAAAGGACCACCCCCTCAAACAGTGAAGAGGATCTCATCATCCTTTGAAGAATCCAATGCAAAAAGACATAAGTGATTACGTCACTAAAGA